GTCGGTGCCCTTTAAGCACAGCCCTCGGCTAGCGTGAGAAAGCATCTCCACTCTCTAAGTTCTTCTCTGATGCCCTGCCGGCACTGCTTCCGGCCATCCTTAACCCCGGTTCAGGGTCCACTTAATGTGGACATGCTAGTTCTAATTAGCAAAACGCTAATTCGAACTAGTTTTTTAGTCTGGGTCCGTTAGTTCGAATTACCTTAGTTCGAATTAACTAATTCGAACTAAGTTAGTTCGAATTAACGTTGTAGTGTAGACATACCCTTAGAGAATTTAGTGTTTCACAATTTCAGCTTGTACAGCAGTAATTTGGAGAAGAAGAAAATCATCTTCTCCTGTCAGAAAAAAATCATCTACAAATGAAAAAGTGATTTTGAGGCCGTTCTGATGTGGAAAGACCAGCCTGCTATGCAGATATCTCCATGCTGTGAGCCTTCAAATCTGATTACAAATTTAAAGTAACAGGAATACATGAGATCTACTTTAATCAGAAAACTGCAGTAGCAAGTAAAACATTTTTCTTTTCCAATCTATTCTGGTGAATTAATGAACACAGTCGAGTCTGTGAGTGTGACACAAAGAACCATTAGTGCCAAATGGCAGAAAGATCACTCTTGTGTTAACAGAAACTTCTAACAGGCTTGACAAACTGACTACACACAGCTCATTGCTTTTGTGGTAGTTAACCATAAATGATGTCATGTGAGTTCTTAAATGAAAGTCAGAATCATGATCATCATTAGCTTCAGGGGGTAGCCGAGTTAGTCTGTACGGGATAAACTTAAAAAACAACAAAAGGTCTGGTAGCACTTTCTAGACTAACAAAACATGTAGATGGTACCATGAGCTTTCGTGGGCACAGCCCATTTCTTCAGATGACCGGAGTTATGTGTGTCTTAAACTCATAATTCCAGTCATCTGAAGAAGTGGGCTGTGCCCACAAAAGCTCATGATACCATCTCATGATCTGTTAGTCTAGAAAGTGCTACCAGACCTTTTGTTGTTTTTTAAGTTTATTAATATAATTGGGAAACGTATGTATAGGTGCTATTTTAAAAGTATAATGAAAATATGTTGCTAATGTCTGAATCAAGGCAGGACTGCTGCAAAAGTTTCTGCCAAAGAATGTATATGTAACTGTTTATTTTGGCTTACATGTACATTAAGCATTGTAAGCCAACCTGGAGCACTATTTACATATGAGTCAATGAACAATAGGAAATCAACGGGGAGATAGCATACTGGAGACAGAACCCCACGAGGTTGTCCTGTGTCTGGGGCCAGCCAATGAACTTTCGGAAATATGAGGGGAAGACGCTTTTTTATTTTGCAACTGAGGAAATAAATGAACAGCATGTTCACATTCATGAAAACAGGATCTCAGTCAGGTGAGGCTGAAACACCATAAAAGACATTTGGGGTGAGATAAATTAATTTAGACAGAAGATTAGCCTGTTAAGTTAAATTGACTCTCTGGAAAACATGTTATGATTTTGTTTTATATGTAACCTCTCTTTTCATTATCCTGACTATTTCTCTAATCCCTGTCTTTGATAATAAGTTTGATTGTTTTGACTGTAAATATAATGCACTGCTGTTGTGTTATACAAGAAGCTGATCCTAAATTGAATCATCCAAGCTGGTGCGTACACTGTCTCTTTGGGAACAATTGACCTGGTATTCTTGTGAGTATTTGGTGAATAAGGGGTTGAACACTTCAAAAGGTCTCTGGAACTGGCGTGCAGCTATTATTAAACTGCAAGGCAAAGTCAGGGGTAGCATAGCCCAAAGGCCAGTCCTAGGCCAAATGGCATGTCAGGTGAGGCGTGTATGCTCCTCACACCATTTGTTAAACTTTTATTACTTTATTTCTACTGCATTTGGAGCACATTTCACAACTTTGATGCATGATGTATCACTGTCATGTAAGATGCTAAATTTGCATCTGTAAATCTGTATTTATTCATGCCAAATATAAGCAAATACAGAATACGTGAAACATGTTGCATCAAACATTCTACTTTCCCTTTTGGCATTTACAATAAAAATAACATGCTGAGCCTGGCACCCTAAACTGTTGCCTGGGTCACCTGCCCCTAAATTCAGCTCTGCATAGTCCTGTGCAGAGTGTTTGGGTAGCTAACAGATATGGGGTGTCAGGGAGCTGACACCCAGTTAAGCACCAGCAAGTGTCTCTCTCCCTGGAGGCAAGGGGAAACGAGGTGACTCACAATCCTGGACACACCAGGAACTGTCACAATACAATGGAAATATTTTGATAGAAAATTAACAAAAAAGAATTTGCCAGATCCCTACAGTTACATCAGAATTCAGGATTTCCATTAACTACCATGCAGTGCTTTTTTAAACATCGGTTTGCTTTGCAGAAAGTGAGTGAGAACACTGACAAGATTTAGAACATGAGCTTCTTTTCAGGGAATTGTTTCAATGAGGAAACGAAAAGGGTGATTTTATAAAACTAAGCAAAAACTCAACATGTTGCCAAAATTAAGTACTTTGATTGGGGTTTAAAGCAAACAATGGATACAATTTGCTGTTAGAAATTAATCCCTTTGGATATGTTCTACAATGAGGAGAATACAGTGTAGCTGGGAAAAATTGCCTAGATGGTCCCACAAACAGACATTGCTAATAAAGAATCATCGACACTGATTGAATGCCATGTCTTTGAAGTGTGGAAGCTTCATTTGGGATGATGAATCCTAAATGTTTTAACAAAGTTACATACTAGATAAATCTTGATACAGGAGAGCTACCACAGCACAGGTGATTCATTCTCATTCTTTCTATGCCATATAGTTAGGACATTGCTGATGTATCTATCTATTTGGAGTGCTAGCTTCATTAGAAGGGGAGCAATTTTGCCGGCCTCACTTTACAAAGCAAACTCTCTGATTTCAATAGGGTCACTCTTATGTCAGTACACCACACATTCTGTGTGTCAGTGCAGCTCTCTGCTCCTTCTTTTCCTTTCAACACAAGGCTGTGCCAACGAAGCACTGTTATCAAGCTGAATGGGACTACTTGTACAGTAAGATACCACCCTCATTCAGGCTTGGGGTGGGAGCATTAAAAGGACAAAGTAATAAAATCTAGGGGAGCCAGAGATACTATGATCCCTGAACACTAAATGCATGTGCTTTACTCTCACTGCCTAGAGATTATGCCTCACAGAAGGCTTGATTCTAGTTTCATATCAGTGCAACGTATAACAGGCCCATATGCAGGAATTTCCGTGGGGTATGTGTGCTTTTTTTTTTTTTTTTGGTAAATGTGGACCACAAGGGTGTGAATGCATCCCCCATTGTCCCCCAAGTAAGTGGGGAAAATCAGCCCCAGCCTTCCCCCAGCTGGCGAGAACATGGGGGAAGGAGGCTCTGGCAGCATGCTGCTCCTTTCTTCCACTGGCCGTCTGGCGAGAACATGGGGGAAAGAGGCTCTGGCAGCATGCTGCTCCTTTCTTCCACTGGCCGACAGGTACATGCTTACCTGGGGGACCATAGAGGGTGCTTTTTCACCCTTTGCACCCCCCTGCATACAGGCCTGCATTTGATATTTATGGTGTCCATACTTCTTTACAGTGGTGGAAGAGATGGGGCCCCTCATGTGGAGAAATATCAGCTTGTGTTGCAGCTGGTTCATCCTTCAAAAGGCAGAAGTGCTGTCCCTTGCAGTCCTAAGGGCTGAATTATAAGAGTAGCTTTCTGTGTAACAAAGAAAGATATTCTGAGCAGCAGCACTATATTAGTAGGATAAAAAAAAAGGAGATGTGTTACTCAAGGAATAGTCAAAGGTTTTAGTTTAAATCCAGACAAAAGACATGAATAAAGTATAGTGTTTAGAGAAACTGGAAGAACTTAGCCCTAGGCATTCTTCTGAATAGGCAGCTAACATGTGTCCTTTGCAATCCACATTTACATTCTACAAGTTTGTTACATTTGGCCAGCGATGCTGGGGGAGAAATACTTTAAATATACTCACTTTGGAATTCAAGAGGTTACACCTAGAGCAGCGCCTTGAGCACTTTGCAGCTATTTGACATCTTGGTCTTGCTATTTCTGCTGCAGAGATACTGGCCTGAAAATAAAGCTTCTATTGTGTGTGGTTAGGAGGCAGCATTAGGAGTAGGAGAACTGGTCCCACAGATACTAATGTTGCAGAAGAGTCAAACCAGAAAAACACCTTCCTTAGAGAATATCCTGGTTTTTGCTTTTCTCAAGAGTGAATGAGATGTTCTGTTTGGGATGAAGCCCATGGTAGATCAACTCTACGCATGTTTTGTTTTTGAAGATAAACCAAAATATATTTGTTGGAAAAGGGGAAGGTTTTCAATCCAAATTGTTTGGCATTCTGGACATTGGCAGGATAACAATCTCTCAGAAATGAAAAAAGCAACCCGCCCTTCTTATCTCCATTTCAGTTATGTAAATTACAGCATGGATGTTTCCAATTAGGTCATAAGGGTAGGCTGACATGTAGGTTGGATATTCACGATGAGCACAATGTTGTAATAACCATCTTTAGCAAGCTGACTGTTTTACTGAACTATCCCTCCCGGATAGCAGGTGCATGGGTTCTGCTGATTCACTGGGAACAGGATATAAGGAAAATAGGAGTGGCTTTCTGGAGAAAGGAGATCTAGGATATGAGTGAGCAATCCTTGGAGACTCCTAGAAGCAGCCAAGTCAGAGCAGAAAATCTAGAGTAGATTTTTGTCTTGTTTTATTTTGAGTTCCTTTTGTGAAACCAAACCCAAGCAAGGAGGTGAATTTTTTAACTCTGTGCCATAAGTGCATTTTGTTTTAGAGCAGGTTGAAAAAAGTCACTTGCTCACTGTGTCTTATAAATTTTGCTAGAAAAAACAGACTAAAAATATCCCTCCATGCATTTTTTCACATTGTTAATCATTTCTCTCTGCATAGGATACATTAGCATTAATATTCTGCTGCTACAAAAAGAAATCAATGGATTTGATTAATTTTTACCATCTTCCATAAAGTTTTAGTTCCATCACACATTATGTGTTCTAATGGCCAAGCAAAGATTGAAACTAGAGGATACATCCTGGCTACCGTCTTAAAGTTTTATGTCAGTATAATGCCTGCAACTTTATCCTATTTGTCACATCAACTAGGGGGTTGGAAAAAATTAGTATTTTACTTTGGCCCTATGTAACTAGATGACATCCATTTATAGTTCAGAAGTGTTTAATGATACTTTGGTTTGTTCTGAAAGATTGCCCAATGCACTCACAGAACAGAACTGGGAATTTACCTTGTAAAAATGTTGTGTTCATGTAAATAAACTGAAATTCAAAGGAAAATCTTGAGTGTATAGATGTAATCAGAATCATGCTGATTTAAGACACAAGATAAAACTTCACTCCCTATGGGTACGTCTACACAGCAGCATTATTTCGGAATAACATAGTGCGTGTCTACATTACAAACCTTTATTTCGAAATACTGTCGAGCTGGAGGACTTCTTACTCCAATTCCTGTAACCTTCATTTTATGAGGAGTAAGGGAAGTAGAATAAAGAGAGTTCTTCTTTCAACTTCCTGCTCAGTAGACAGTGCCAAAAGCTGAATTAAGCTATTTCAACTTCAGCTACGCAATTGACGTAGCTGAAGTTGTGTAGCTTAATTCAACTTTAGCCCTGGTGTGTAGATGTACCTATGAGATCATATTCCACAATAACTGACCGGAAGGACTTTACTTTTTTAGAAACAAAAAGGCATTAGGCATTCTTCCCACTCTATTTGGCATCCATACTGATTATTTTTCAAGGTGATGAAATGAAAAGCAAGGGTTACATGTCATTGTGGACTAGGACTGATGTGTCTATTATATCATTGGATTCCGCTGCCTGCCCACCTCAGAAAAACAGATTATGGTCCACCCAATATTGGTCAATATTGGAAGATTTGCTCTAGAGCATAGAGGGTTCTGATCTATGAAGAAAAAGGTCTCTCTTCTAATACTAACTAATGGCATTCTGCATCCCCACCGTCCTTATGAAAGAGACAATTTCATACTGTTTCAAGAAATAATGAAGAAACTATCAGTTGTGATTTACATACAAGTAAAGAACATTATCTAAAAATAGATCATAGGAAATGACTTACAGCTCTTTTTCTCCGTTGAAAATATCCTAAGCAAAAGGAAAATATAAGTTCTACATTTGTCTTTACTTTGGTGAGACTTTATCAAAGTTAGGGTATGTACTTTTTCTATTAGCATTTCTATAAGATCTTGACAAACAGAAAAGGTTGTGTTGTTTTTAACTGAAGGATTTATATAATAGTTTTTGCAGTACTTGACACTCTACAGAGTAACATCACATTTCCTACTCTAAAAAATCATGT